CTCACTATGCTGAGCCTGCCTCCTCCTTGGAACCCCCTACCAAACCACAGTATGCTCTCATGTTCCTACGAGCGAATCGGAACAAGCTGCTTCCTGGTGCTCACCCAGTAGCGGGGTTATCATGAACTCTCGCACAATTAACTATACCAAGTTAGCGGTTTTGCAGCTGCTTCCCAACACGAAAAGCGAAAGCTCACGTTGGGTGGTGCCGATCAAAGCGGCAAATGAACGAAGTCATTAGACGTGATGGACGTCGTTTCGGAAAATAATGAGGCCTTCCAGAGGTTATTTTCCTCCACACAAACTGGGTTCCTCACAAAGTTGTGGACACGACTACAAAAGGACACAAAAAGCTGCGCTGAGATAGAGCAAAATGCAGGTATAGTAGAGAAATCCGAATCTTCTTTCAACATCATCGGCCACCAGCGTGCCCTTATACCTTTTGAACATTAGAAGATTATCGAAATCCCGGCGCAGTTTAGCTTGGAAGGGGCATTTTGCGCGCTTGCTAGTTCCTTTCGTTGATTTTCCTTAACTTATAGGTCTTGCTTTGTTCAGACCTGTAAACTCGTGTGAAGCTGGGAAATTGTGCGACTGAGCCACGAGCCAATGGGTCACAGGAATTTACAGTTCTTCACAAGGTGGTTTCCAGGGTACCCCCACAATTTTGAATCCCAATTTGGTTTTGTCGCTCAGACAACTGGGCTTTTACAGGGTATACAGGGGGAGGGGTGCGAAGAGAGACACTTTTTTTCCTCGACTTTCAAAGCGAAATAAGTTACACTTTTTAAGGTCTGACTGGACATTTTCACCATCAAATCACAACACATTGTACACGATCACGAAACTCCGCCACAGCCTTCTGGACGAACGCCATCGAGAGATTCTGCCACGCGACCGTGATTCGGTGCCTGAGTTCAGCGAAGTCGTTGATTTCCGCTACTGTAGACCACCCTGTTGAGCTCCACTCAGAGCCGGTAATATTCTCCTCGAGCTGTTCGATGTAACCCTCAACGTTCACTTTTAGTCCGGGGTCCTACGAAGAAAATATCGGTCTTCACATTCCAGGAACTTCCGGTCCATACCACCAACCCGCGCCTTGGCGACTGCGGTGAAGATGATATCCTGGACCGTAGCGACGTTGTCGGAGCTGCTCGATGTTGGAGGTCTTCCAGATCAAGAGTGCTGGTCCAGGTAGCTGTCCATGGGTGACTCCATACAAGAAGCTTTGCAGCTGTTTGATGTTCCTTCTCCAGTCAGGCTGCGATTGGAGATGACTTCATATTTTGGTGTACATGAAGGTGATGGGCGAGAGCCAGCTCCTGCTTATTGAGGAACATCTCGGGTATCTTCCGCCCTGGTACTCGTACCCACGTGTTCTGTCTGTTCTGAGCATTCTTTACTGGTATGTGTCTCGGGAACAGCGTTTTTTTGCCCCCTCCCCACTTTTGTAACCTCCGCGACATGGAAAATTCTTATGCACAGTACGTCTGTCCATTACGTTTCACACAAATTACGGTTTTTCCTAAATGATGAGCCGACTACATAACAAAACTATTAGATATACTTCTGTACTATGATGTATAACAACTTATGTACTACCTCCAAACCAGGAAATTTCATCAAGATGCCGCTGATGACGGAATCAAAAATTAAAACTAAAATTTAAGAAAAATTAGTGGGAAGTCATTATGTATGCAAAACCTCATTCAACATGTGCCAACGATGGAATGGAATAAGCATCCAAAAAAATGATTAAAGCTCGAATGTTCATCCTTTTACATAGCTTTACCATTAGTTATTAACGTCTTGTTGCATTTGCTTCTGCTGCAAAAATGACATTCGAAGGAGATTCAAAAGCCTTTTCCGCTTCATAGGTTACGCCAAATTGGAAGCACAGGACGCGGTAGTGTTTTTCAAGCGTCTAGCGTTTTCCTTTCCTTGTAGGCGCCTTTATTCATTTTCTAGTGCCCTTTCCATGACGGTTTCTATATTAAGCTCCGACAGATGTATGGAAATGGTGCCTGGTAGTGTCATTTTCCATTCACGTATCCACGTAGTGACCAGTGCAGCGGGCCTTGCAGCCAGGGAAACGCGTCTATTTTTGCCGTTGTTTGGTCATCAAGGAAACATTAATGGGGAAACATTAGCCGCAATGCTGCAAAAAGTGAAGCCAAGCGGCCGAAAGCCAAGAAACAAAGGGTAGTTCGGCTGAGTGCACGGCGCATCCAAAATTGTCTACATCAACAGCTCTAATGGTATTGAGATTGAAATGACCTCACTCCTCAAGAGCACCCTATCCCGATCAGAAAGATTCCAAAGCAGTTCTCCCCAATGTCAGCCGGGCAGAGCCAGAGTGGGTAGGAAGCGATGCAGACCTTCTCATCTACTAATAGAAGTCTATTGGCGTAGTCATGGTCAGGAATGCGACCAGGAGGGTCCCATTCCGGTCGATGGTGAGTGATGTTGGAATGACCATGGTCAGTGCGCACACAGCCGTTATCACTGAAGTCAGCTGGGGCGTGCCAGCGGTTTATGGGTTTAGCGCGGCACGAGCCTGTGTTCCATCAGTCGCTACGACTGTTCAGTGAGTGGTGGGGGAGGGGTGGCACAGGCGCTGCGCCAAAATTCACACGTCGCTCACACGGCCCGACTGATTTTAGTGAATATTTTTACTAGGTCAGATCTGACTCTCTCACAAAATCCGGACTACTGTCCCCTCCATGTCGTGTATTCTGAACCATGATGTGCGCCTTCCTACGTCCATATCTGCTTGAGCTGCTCGGGCATTCAATAAAAGGGACATCTCCTCGAGAAACTCATTAAAGAGGTGAGCGTAGCCGCGCAAATCGAGACTGGAATAGAAGAATACAATAGCTGGTCGCACGCAGGTTCTGGGTTTGGGGTAACTAGCGTTGTCCCTAGCTAGCCAGCCGAAACAGAATACAACGCTCTTGTCTCCGACAAAATTCAAGGAGAACGCTGCGCTTCAACTGCTCAGTGCTATTTCTGAGGCACTTCAGTATATCAAGCCATTTTTATCCCAGTACCCAAGACACTTGGAACCACTACACTTAGTCTCCTTTCACCGTGAGCGGTCAGGGAAAAGGTTATGTTGCTAATCATGAATAGACAACGCCCTGGCAGTGATCTGAAAAGTGGCATCGGTTCCCGTGTTTTTTTCTACCGTACCCTTCTGGGAAATTCTCATACCTGCAATGCTATGTGCGTCCCCACGCAACTAGCACAGTGACGTGCTCGGCCGGCACCAATATGGAAAAGTCCAGTCAGTGGCGCTAATGCGAACGCTTTGTTGACATTTGTAGCTCAGAAAATCTCGTCGAGAATATTCTAGCCCACTGAACTTTGGCACCGATTAAATCTGAGATATTGAACAGGAACTGAAAGAAGGAATCGAAGGTACTTTTCCCCAATATGAGTTACTGAGGGCGCTAACGGTGGAACAGGGCGCGCGGCTGCTTCTCTTTCCTCTTCTTCTCATAGGTTCAAGCTCAGCAAAGTGCAAATCATCAGAGCTGCGCAAGCTATAGCACAGCATCCGTTGCGTAAAACAAACGGGGGATATATCTGGCAGCTGGAACATGTAGGAGGGCTTAGGCGCTGTTTATCGACGGGGGGCATTCTGCTTTTCATAGATTTGCCAACCCATCTAGGTACCCTTTTTTCGAGTTGACACGTTTTAGGATGGTGGCTAGACGATCTTGCTCCAGCTTCACAAGCGTTCACAAGTTTTACCAGAGTGAGATTTGGAACCAGGGAAGCAATTATAATACAAAATGCCCCCCCCCCGTCGATAAACAGCGCCGAGGGCTTATATTTTGTCGCGGATAAATGCGCGATGAATATTCGTTGCATGAAGTTGGAAGCGACTCGAAAATTAACTATTTCTAATCTTCGATCAGAGGTGCCTAAACGCAGGCGCGCTTGACGGCAGTTTTTGTGGAAAGAAGTTGGTGAGGCAGAGGACAGATTGTGAAAGGAGGCTGTAAAGGAGGAAATTGGGAAGGGGTCGTATTTGGTCAGACTTCCATGCAACACAATGGTGTGTCCGACAGAGCCGACATACAGGGTGATGGTGAGAAAACATTTCCTTCATGGAAAGTAGCCCTAGAATTTTTTCAAACCTTTTTCATTGGCTCTTCTGTTTTTGCACACCCATCCCCACCCCTTCCGAGCTACTAGCACCTCACTGTGTCACCTAGTAAATAATGCACTGTGCAGTGTGAATGGGAAAAGCCCGCTGCAGTGAATAATATGCGAGGAACATAAGTCGCGAGAGAGAACTTAAAAATGAGAAAGGAGGTTCGAAAATGTTGTGGAGTGAATAGTCATTAGCTATAAGCCCTTACCTGGTCATATCCTTCGACGGTTGCTGGCTGTCCACCAGTTGTGCATGTGATTGCTACAGTAGCACCTTGTGCATGTGTGTTACCGAAACTCACATCACTGTAGTCGAATCTTCAAAGGAAAACAACATTACTCTACTCTAACTAGTTTGGTTATCTTTGCTGATCATATTGGAATACCATACGTTGCTTGAATGCTTTAGCCTTTCGGGCCAACTCCATGTAACTCCACTTGTATTGGGGAGGCAAGAATTGTTCTGGTAGTCCGTATCAAGGAATATTTTGCTAGCATGGAAATCGGGACTATTACTTGTTTTGTAAGGTATACGAATATGGTACTTTCAAGGAGAACGTCCATGGTTCGCGAATGGAGCGATTCAGCCGCGCAACTGCGACCGACCGTAGCCCACAACTGGTCGTTAGACTGCCGCAAATAGCCGGAAAATACAATTCTGAATCCACTGAATTAGCAAACGCAGCGGTCCGATGACTAATAGCGTGGAGCAGTCATTGGAGGGTCTGGTTTAAAAATTATCGAATGAATCACTTTCAGTCGCAATGTATCAATGGGACCTAATCTGATTGAATGTGAATAGCCTGTTGCGCTGACGCTGATTTTTTAATTTTATTGCATATTGTAAAACTCTTTGCTGTTGAAAGCTGCACCTTGTGCACTTCTCAAAACAGTGCTCCTCTTCTCCACTCTCTAGGAAAAGGAGGGAGGGGGCGCATTAGAGAGGGTATCAAAATTGTAGGCCTGACTCCGCCCATGAGCAGCGAGCACTTTGGAACAGCACAACGACAATCAGATCGATAATCAGATACAGATTAAAATATCCTCACCCATAGTTGGGTACATGGGGAGCACTGAAC